GAGATCCATCTATGTATTTGTAGAGGTCGTAGCCGATAAGAATGGCCTCAATCTGGAGTTTCCAAGTAATATAATTTGTGGAGGTTAATTTATGGATGGATCGATAGGAAGTGTTGATGAGTTGAAGGTTTTGGGTTGGATTTTCTAGGTTGGGGATGATAATGGTCTGAGAATCAGTCGACATGGTGAAGACTACGGCTAGGGTTTGTAAAGGAGTGATGAGAGGAGGTCTAGAACGGGAGGTCTAGAACTGTTCTGATACCATGTAAAGAATTATAATTGCTGAATAATGGCATAGTCTTTTTCATTGATGTTAGGAAATATTTATAGGATTACAAGAGAATCAATTAGTTACATAAAATTTGAAACTACCTAATTAGTTACATAATTGTTGTAACTAAAAAGGGTAAGTGATCTATTGAGATATTTACAGAATATCATACAATAGGAAAGAATCACCGGGCGTGTCGACTAAGACCGTCTTTCGTGTCGACACAAGGGGTGTCGTCTCGTTCGGTCGGGCTTCGTGTCGACTGACTTCGAATTGACTAGCACCGCCTTTCGAGTCAACACAGGGGGTGTCGTCTCGTCTGGTTGGTTGCAATTCCTTAATATGGTGTGTCGACTGACACCGCAGGGCATGTCGACTAAGACCACCTTTCGTGTCGACACAAGGGGTGTCGTCTCGTTCAGTCGGGCTTCGTATTGACTGGCTTTGATTCGACTAGCACCGCCTTTCGAGTCGACACAGGGGGTGTCGTATCGTCTGGTCGGCTGCAATTCCTTAACATGGTGCACGTCCAAAGCATTTTTTATAGAGAAAAGAGTTGAATGGATTACTTAACCTTCTTTTCTTTATTTCTTTCTTGTTAAATTTTGGAGAAAGCTCACGTGTGATGTATGTCTCCTAAGAATGGAAATAGAACTCTAAAGGGCAGAGGTTATCTTTGAAATTTATAACCGATGGTTTTTTCTAATAAAAGCATATTTATAGAGGGGCTGTATTGATTCATTATAATGGTATGTTAAGGACAACCACTAAAGACTTTGAAACATTAAGGACCTAGGCGATATTTGACTGATACATCAGATACCTCCACAGAACTTTTACCAAAGAATAAACTAGATTCTTTTTGGAATTATATGTTAAAAGTTTTAATTCTTTAAAAAATTTTCCTAATCAAATTTTTATTCTAAAACCACTCTCAGTCTTAGAACCTATTGCACCATTTTAATTATTTAATTATCTAGATTAATGATGATGTAATTATAAATTGAATGCAAAATTGTTGATTTCGAGTAGGAGACCATTCTGATAGAGTTGTGGTGCCTAATGAATTGTGTGCGTTCTCTCTTGTAGCTGTAGCTTCATCAAAAGGGAAAAAAGTCAATGCATGGCTGTGAGATGTAGTCAATTGCCAAATCAAGTAAAAAATCGATGTTTTTTTGTTATCATCTTTTCTTTCTTTCTTGTTTTATCTCTCACTTATAGGAGATTACATTCCAAGGAAAACCATATGAATAGAATGGAATTGTGGGTCTGGACCATCTCCACGTTGATTAGGATAGTTGGACTGTGCGGTTGTGCCTAATTTGGTCAGCACGAAATAGAATTTGCTTTTTTGTTCGTCTGTTTTAAATCTCTCTCTCTCTCTCTCATATATATATGTATCCTTGTCATAGGAGGGGATTTCCTCCTTGACGCCTCTAAAATCACATGATAGAGCGACATTGTGGATGATCCGCTCCGTTGAACTTGATCTACATATTCTAAAACCCCAACACACCAAGTTTGGGGTGAACATGTCGTCGTTTGTCCCTTCATCCACTCGTATCAATTTTAACAGTTTTGAATGAATAGAACTTTTCACATGGCTCGATGAAGGGTCAAACGACGACGGATTCACCCCAAACTTGGTGTGTTGGGGTTTTAGAATATGTAGATCAAGTTCAACGGAGCGGATCATCCACAATGTCGCTCAATCATGTGATTTTAGAGGCGTCAAGGAGGAAATCCCCTCCTATGACAAGGATACCCATTAATCTCATATATATATCAGTTGCATGTAACTAGTAGTAGTATATATATATATATATATATATATATATATATATATATATATATATATATATATATATATATATATATATAATATATATATATATATATATATATATAATATATATATATATATATATATATATATATATATGAGAAATATGGTACTATGCTTGGTACCAAGCACAAAAAGTTATGCTTTGGTAGTGATTGTGTCACATCGTCATCCACTCACTACCCATGTAAATTTGTTCCCACATTTGAATGAGTGGAGGGGATTTGACACCCCACTACCAAGCACAACTTTTTATGCTTGCGTACAACATACATACCCATATTTACTAATATATATATAATTATAGTATATATATATATATTATATATATATATATATATATATATAATATATATATATATATATAATATATATATATATATATATAATATATATAATAATAATATATATATGAGGATTAATGAGTATCACTTGCTGCAATTGTTGTCTTATACAGGTATATTTGTTTTGTTCAATTTTAAGATTTAGCAATTTGCTGCTAATTTATTTATTTGTAATATAAAAATGGAACATATAGCTTATTCAAAGGAATATATAGCTAGGTTGGACAGATTTCTAGTATCTACGGACTTTGAAACTAAATTCCCTCTTCTGGTTCAGTTCGTATAACAAGCTCCTTGCTCAGATCACTGTCCAATCATTTTAGACACAAGCTCCCCTCACCCAACTCTATTATTTAGATTTGAAAAATTCTGTCTCTCAGATCCTTCCTTCATTCCTTTCATTCAAGACAGCTGGAGATCTTTTTGCTCCCATGACAACTCCCCCCTTTCGTTCCCATCATCTTCTCTCTTCAACCCTTGTGGCTCAGGTAGACTCACTCAACTTGATTAAAGAATCCAGAGCCTTATCCCCCTTGGAAATCCAATCTAGAAGTGTTTTAAAAACCAGCTTCTCGCTCTAGCCAATGCTGAAGAAACTAAATTGAGGCAAAGGTCTAAAATCCAATGGTTGAGAGAGGGAGACAATGACTAAATTTTTCCATAACTTTGCATCTCACAGAAGGAGAAATTTTTTTATTCCTTTACTCATAGAGAATGATTTAATCATCTCCATTGATTCAGATATGAAAAGGGCTTTCTTCAACTACTTCTCCAATCTCTTTCGTCAACCTCCTGATTCCATACTATCAGTTAACTGGAACATCTTATATCCTGCTGCCCCCCCAGACCTCTCCCCTCTTGATCTTCCCTTCTCCTCTGAAGAAATTAAAGCAGCAATTTTCGATCTCCATCCAGAAAAATCCCTAGGCCCTGACGGTCTTCCTTTGCTATTCTATCAAACTTTCTGGAACTCCATAGAGGTGGACACAATAGCCTTTTTTTTTAAAAACCTCTTCCTCCATCCCCAAACTCTCCACAACATAAATTACTCATACATCTGCCTCATTCCTAAGAAAGAAGGTGCCAGCTCCCCAAAGGACTTCAGACCCATCAGTCTCATTAATAGTTCATGTAAGATCTTTTCAAAAATTCTGGCCAATAGACCTAGCAAAGTCATTCATCTCCTTATAGATTCCTCTCAGTCAGCTTTTTAAAAAGGTAAATCTTCCCTTGACTCCATTCTGCTAGCTCTGAGATGATAAATTTCTGATCTTCACGTAAGAAGGAAATATGTGCAATTGAAGTGGATTTTTTCAAGGCTTTTGATTGTGTAAATTGGAACTTTCTCCTCTCCCTTCTTGAAGCTAGAGGTTTTCGTCAAAGATGGTGTCTCTGGATTAAATACATTCTCTCCTCCTCTAAATCTGCTGTCTTGGTTAATGGTTCCCTAACTACTTTTTTCTCATGTCATAGGGGCCTAAAACAAGGTGATCCCCTCTCCCCCTTGCTTTTTCTTTTAGTGGCAGATGTTCTAAACAAAATGATCTTTATCAGTGCTGTTTCAAGAGATCTGTCTGATCTTCAGTTGAAAGGAGAATTAAATAACATCAGGGCTCTTCAATTTGCAGATGACACTATCATTTTTTCTAAAGCCTCTTCTGTAGATATGATCACTCTCAAAGCTATCCTTCTTATTTTTGCTAACATTTCTGGTCTGACTGTGAACTCCAACAAAACTCATATGTACTACCTTGGTAGAACTCCAAGCAAGGGATCTCATCTAGCTAGAGACTTAAATTGTTCTGTGGGCTCCCTACCCTTCTCTTACCTTGGTTTACCACTCAAAAAAGGATCCTTATCTAGAAGAGACTGGCTTCCTCTATTAGATTCTTTCTCAAATAAACTGTCCCATTGGAAGAAGAAATCCCTATCCATTGGGGGACATCTCACCTTCATTAATTCAGTTCTCTCCTCTATCCCGCTCTACTTCATCTCCTTCTTCAAATTCCCTTTGTGGCTTATTCAAGCTATTGATAAGACTAGGAGAAATTTCCTCTGGAATGGGAGTAATCTCCCCTCCAAAGTTAAGTGTTTGGTAGCTTGGAAATCAATTTGTAGACCGAAATAAGAAGGAGGGCTGGGTGTCATCAATCTCCATGTCTTAAATCTTTCCCTTCTATCAAAATGGATTTGGAAAATCTTTAAGAGGGGCTCCTTAATCAGTAAAGTCATCTTCTCCCTGTATTCCAAAGATGATTCCTACCCTGTTGTGCATCATCCAAAGCACCAAGCATCTAATCTGCTCAAAGACCTATTTTCTATAAACTCAGTCCTTTTTAGCTTTGCTAAATGGATTGTAGGCAATGGCAAGACTTGCAGATTCTGGTATGATAAATGGTCTAGTCCTAACTCTCTGTGCAGCCTCTTTCCGCAAGCATTTTCTCTTGCCTTCTTCAATGGTAGCAGTATCAGATCTTAGGGTTTTCTATTAAAACAAGTTTGGCACTGGCACCCCATCCTCAGAAGAGGACTCAACTCGGTAATGCATAGGGAAGTCCAGGACCTTCTCTCTTTCATTGAACCGTTTTCTTGCGGAGCTATCTCTTCACCGGATACTATTCGATGGCCTTTACATTCATCAGGAATTTTCTCAGTCAAATCTTTCTACTCTGTTCTGAATTCTGGAGGGTGCAAATCAAGGTATTTTAATTTCATTTGGAAATCTCCTATCCCTCTGAAAGTTAAAGTCTTCTTCTGGCTTGTCAGCAATCAAAAACTAAACACCATGGCCAACCTAGTCTCCAAGGGATGGAACGGTGACCCTAGATGTCCATTTTGCAATTTAGAAGTGGAGAGTCAGGATCACTTATTCATCTCATGTTCTTTTGCATCCTCTATCTGGTCCATTCTCTTCCCTAATATCAGTGCCGGCTCTTGGCCTCTTTCCATGAAGGACTTAATCCTCCTCAATGACTCCTCGGTTTTCAATAGAGACATAACAAGTATTTGCAGAATAGTGCTTCCATGTTGTTATTGGTGGATTTGGAACAGCCGTAACTTCCTCATATTTAGAGATATACAGTATAACTCGAACCTTATTGCAGCTAATATTGTTAGATATACTCTCTTGTGGGCAGGTGCTCAGGAAGATAGGTTGGCTAAAAGGATTCGTAGGGCAACTATCAAGCTGCAGTTTGAAGATATAGCAAAGAAGAAACCGGCAGCTGAAGTGGGAGACAATTTTTCAGCAGACTAGTCCTAGTTGGTTGTTACTCATACCGATTGTCTCTTTTGGGAGTTTTCTTTTGAGGAGTTTTCTTTTGAGGCATGGTATCTTAATCAAACTCCTTATCTATTTTTTAGTGGTGTTTATTCCTGGTTTTATGGTGTATATGCATACTTTGAGCTACCTAGTTTAGGTAGAAGATGCTTTTTAATTTGCTCTTTTTTATGTTCTTTTTTGTGTGCCTTCGCCTTTTGTGATAAGGTATGTATATTCTCTGTAAGTTTTTTCTTTTTGTTCACATAAATATATATATATGAACAGGAATGCTATTCCTGTTTCTTCAGTTAAAAAAAAAAGAATGAAGAGAGACGTAGAAAAATGAACCTTGCTATTTGTCTCGCGCGTGATGCATCACGCAAGAGAGGAGGAGGGTCAGTGGGACCCACTTCACGTGGGTCCCTCTGACCCTCCTCCTCTCTTGCGTGATGCATCACGCGCGAGACAAATAGCTTTTTTGTAGAAAAATTCCCTATCTCTTCATTTACCACACCTATACCCATAAAGACACTCTTACTCTTCTCATAATATTAATTTATCATCTCATGTGGACATCGATGTGATACTTAGGTAAATAACTCTCTTTGTTTCCTTCAATTTATTGTAAAGAGATGCGAGGAGAAGATGCATAACATTATCCCAGTAAAAGGGATAAGGCGCCGTTTGATTTCCTCCCACCATCAATTCCAATTCACTGGCCCACGCTCCCTCAACGGCTCAAAGAAGTCCTTTTTGTCTTGTTAATATTTCAAAAACTATGAACTTTTTATGAACTCTAAAGTTTAGCTATATACAATTAGTACAATTACTTTCTTAAAATCAACTCAAAGCTTTCTATAAGGATGCAAAAGGACAGGGACATCTCGAATCTAAATCCAATACTATACGAATAAAATATATTTTCTCCATACAATTTGCATAAATAATTTAAATGAGACACGTTTGAAGTAAAATATCTAGATCTGTATAAAGTTGTCTAGATATACCAATGAGAAAATTGAAATTATTTTGATCATTTAATTTCTCTATCTAATCCATAGCTCATATAACATTCAGATTCCTTTCCATCATCGATAAATTATCAAGGAAACGAAGAAGAAAAACCTCCACGAGATCATGATCTCATAGAATAACAAAAGTGAGCACAACTATAAAAATCTGTAAAGCAATTTGAGAAAGTAATGTCTTAATCATCTCAACTCTGGTAAATTTGATAAATAGTGTAACCGCTATTTTAGAGGTACATACTTAGGCATGTTTGGGACCATTGCCCTCACTAATTAAAGACTATATATACTTTCATATATTTTAAGGATTTTAAGTATTTTTTTCAAGAGAAAAAAATGTGACTCTTAAAATCCCACAAGCCGCATTTATGGTTGGTTGGCCAAGAGCTTTCAATCACAAAGAAACCCTTCCATTCATGATGATGCTTCAAAAAAATTTTTTTTTTTTTGCGGGGTGGGGGATCTTAAACAGAATGCTGACATATGTCTCATTATCAGTTTTAAAGTTGCACTGATCCATAAACTGGTAGTCTGCATTGATTTAGTACTCAGTTTGCACTGTGTTTAAGTGACTGTGCTGATTTGATATATTGATTGTACTGATAGAATACGATCTATAGAGACACCCCACCAAGTACCATCCCTATTTGAAGCTGCAAATGCTCCGTGGACTCCCATATAAATTGAAGCTGCAAATGCTTTGTGGTTGAAGCTGCAAATGCTTGGTGGACTCTCATATCAAAATTATATGGGAAAACAATCCTAACCTATCACTATATACCTAACAAAACTGGGAAAGATCAAAATGGCTTCATGTATTAAATTTATGTCTATTATAGGGTTCTTACATCAGAATCGGTTTTTACATCAAAATCATCTTTACTTTTACCGAAATTGATACTTACCAACTTTAAGTTTTTGTGATGTAAATCACATTTACTTGTCAATGTCACACATTTTTTTACTGTTCACCCATGAAAAAATAGATATTCTTATTTTACCTACATCTTCTTCCTTCCAACCCCTAACCCTAACCCTAGCATCTTCCATCCTCCTTTTCTATAAACCCAAACCCTAACCCTAACTCATGGCCGCCATCTCCCCCAAAATCCTAACCCTAACTAATGGCCGCCACCTCCCCAAACCCTAACCCTAATCCTAGTTCCTGCTTGGAAAGGAATGAGAGAGTGGGAGGTCGGGGAGGAAGAGGGAGGACAAGAGAGGAGGGGAAGGGAGTTGAAGAGGAGGGAGAGGGAAGATGTGTTGGGATTAATCTATCAACGACCTGTCAAAGAACCTCCACGCAACATGACCTCCGGATCTTGTGACGAACAAATAGCAAGCGAGAACTCACAACAACAAAAAAGATGTAGGAAAGAACAAATAAAGAAGAGAACACCAAATTTAACGAGGTTTGACAAACATGCCTACGTCCTCGGGAGCCACACCAGAATTTCTTTGATTATTGATGAAGGTTACAAGCTTGCAAAACGACCATCTCTCTCTAAGATACCTCTCTCAAAGTGTTCAAAATACTCTTACAAAGACGCATAAAACAATAGCCAAACACCCCTTATATTTATACAAACCCTCACTTCCAACTGGACCAGGAAACCGTTTGACTTGCTATCGGTCGACCGATGCGCTTGCATCTGTCGATTGACCATTGGAAAATTTTCACAGTCTGTTTCGTGCACATTATCGGTCAACCGATATTTCCCATCGGTTAACCGACCAGAGAAATTTTCTCACCTTGTTCCTATCAGTCGAATCGGTCGGCCGATGGGCTTGTTCGGTCGACCGATCAGGGGGTTTTTGTTGTGTACTGATTTTTTCCCAGGTTTGGGTCTACACCCTAAAATCCAACAATCTCCCACTTGGAGACCAAACCTTTATCAACTAGCTCTCTCTTGAACTTCAGCCATCTTAGCAAGCACCTTCTCCTACCCGAAAAATTTCTTTCTTCAATCAATATCATTCTTGGTGATCCCACCTGTCCTCCTCGTATGGCTCTGCCCTCATGTCCTACATATGAAGGCCAACTGAAGTTGCACACAACTTCAGTTTCTCAATGGTTACTGTCTTCGTTAACATATTTGCAGGTTTTGGCTCCCCAAAATTTTCTCCAATAGTAACTTTTCGTCATCTATCAGCGAGCGTATCAAGTGGTAATGCACATCGATGTGGTTCGTTCTGGTATGATATACTGGATTCTTAGCAAGGTGTATAGCACTTTGGCTATCACAATAAAGAACTCTGTTCCCCCACTTCAGACCCAACTCTTTCAGACACCCAGTTAACCAAATCATCTCCTTGCTAGCCTCAGTCACTGCGACATACTCTGCCTCAGTCGTAGACAACGTCACTATCTTCTATAAATGTGAGACCCGGCTCACTACTGTCGACCCTAGAGTATAAATATACCTTATGGTACTTCGCCTTGTATCATGATTACCTGCAAAGTCTGCATCCATATATCCCTGCAGTACCAATTCTTTTCTCCTAAAGCACAGTGGTATATCTGTAGTCCCTCTCAAGTATCTCAGTATTTACTTCATAACCTCCCAATGCTGCTTCTCTGGATTGCTGGCAAACCTGCTCACAACTCTCATTGCATGGGTGATATCCTGCCTCGTGCAAACCTTTGCATACATAAAACTACCAATAGCTAATGAGTATGACACTCTGGTCATGAACCCCTTCTCTAGATCCGTCTTGGGAGATTGCTCCTCAGATAACCTGAACTGACTAAGGGGCGTGCCAACGGCCTTTACATTCTGCATGTTGAATATATGAAGTACATTCTTAATGTATTCAGCCTGACTCAACTTTAACGTCCCTTCAGCCATATCCCGACTTATTCGCATCCCAAGAATTTGCTTTGCTACATCCAAATCTTTCATAGCAAACTCCTTTGCCAACTGCTTCTTCAACTTGTTAATCTCTTGTAAACATGGCCCTGCAACTAGTATGTCATCTACATACATCAATAACATGAAATAGCTAGACTCAAACCTCCTAAAGTAGCAACAATGATCTGAATTGCACCTTCCATGGTCATTGTTCTGCATGAAGTTATCAAACTTCCTGTACCATGGTCTTGGAGCCTGTTTCAAGCCGTATAAGCTCTTCTTGAGCTTACATACCATCTCTTCATTTCCTTCCTCTATGAAGCCAACAGGTTGCTTCATATAGATTTCTTCATCGAAGTCGTCATGAAGAAATATAGTCTTCACATCCAACTATTCAAGGTAGAGATTTTTAGTAGCTACTAAACTCAACACCACCCTGATGGTTATAATCTTCACGACGGGGGAAAATATCTCTGTATAATCTACTCTTTTCCGCTGTTGGAACCCTTTCACAACTAATCTGGCCTTGTACCTCTCACTTCCATCACTCTCCTGCTTGACCCGATAGACCCATTTGTTATGTAAGACTTTCTTCTTCACATGAAGTTGGGCTAACTCTCATGTCTCATTCGAGTAGAGAGAATCCATCTCTTCTTGTATTGCATGCTCCCACTGCTGAGATTCACTATGTTGCACTACCTCCTCATAGCCCTCTGGTTCTCCACTATTTGTTAAAAGCAAGTAATGTAGCGACGAAAGATATCTGGGATTTGGTTTGGGTACTCTAGATGACCTCCTAAGCTCCTCGCCCTGGGTACTAGTCTCTGCACCTAGAGTCCCCTCTGTTCTAACACCACCCTGATGGTTGTAAGCTTCACTACGGGGAAAATATCTTTGTATAATCTACTCATTCTCTCTGTTGGAATCCTTTCACAACTAATCTGACCTTGTATCTTTTGCTACAATCACTCTTCTGCTTGACCCGATAGACCCATTTGTTATGTAAGACTTTCTTCTTCACATGAAGTTGGGCTAACTCTCATGTCTCATTCGAGTAGAGAGAATCCATCTCTTCTTGTATTGCATGCTCCCACTGCTGAGATTCACTATGTTG